CGCTGCGCTCGAGCACCAGCGAGGTTCGAGGAGAGAGAGAGAGAGAGAGAGAGAGAAAGAAGGGGGGGAGGGACACGACGCATCGGAGAGAGCGAGGACGCACCGTGGCTTCACTTTCCAATGTGCGACCTGCGAGACGCCACGCCGTCAGCTACTTGTGCTACTGACACCGAGAGAGACACAGAGAGGCAGGCATGGACATACAGTAGTGGTGACGCCCCACAGAACAGCACAGCAGCCGCTCGTGAATGAATGTGCGGTGCACAAAAAAAGCATCTTTGCGCACAAGTCAGACGGATATATTTGACCGGGAGTGTCGACAGTGATGTCTGTGTGCAGAATTTTGTTTAGTGACAAAATACGGATTAATCTGAAGCAGTGAATTCCTCGGAGATATTACTGCTGCGAGGACAGGTATGATGTTTATATTACCAATACTTTTCCATGTTGTATCTTAACTTTAGTGCATTTCAGTTTTAATCTCCATCAGCTCAGCCCATGTCATAAGCAAATACCGCCCAGTTTACATCCTAACTTTTCAGAGATTACATTAAAACCTATAGTGGGGTGTTTGCGGGCGAGATTGCCTTCTCTGAATTTCGCCCTGTGCTGATCCCATTTGCCTGCGTTTACTTTGTTGTGGGACTATCATGGTGGAAGAAAAATAATCTGTGAGTGTCTTAGAGCGTCTCCGATCGGTGCAGATGTGTTTAGTAATCCTCCGGCGTTGACCCTCTCTTGAATAATCCCTGTGGATTTTGCTGATTGTGGTGCCGTCGATGCTGCCGCTGCTGTTGACCACCAACCGCGTCCACGGCAATCCGTCCATACCGGATTAAGGCAGCAAACCTATTCGTGAATAGTGGAATATACCTTGATTTGGGATTTAAAAAGTAACCCCAAAGTAATTAAAATGTATGTTATGATGGAAACTGGTTTATCTTGTGATGCTCATAAGTGGAGGTCAAAATGAATCAGCCTTTATGTCACTGTATTATTGCTCTAAAGGTGTTAATGCCATATAAGACTACTTTAATAAGTTTAATAGATATGATGTGCAGGTTCTGCACATCTGACAAGCCAACTTCTGATATAGCTGCTCATCCAAACAGTAACTGGATGTGATTCCTGTAGATTTTTTCTTTAAGTTCTGGAAACAAAAATACATTTTGCCTGCACAGTAATGGAAAATGTGTCAGTGTGATGAAAACGGCAGGCAGAGCAGAGCATGTGCTGCACAGGAGCATCTATCAGAAGATGTACATACATTGCTCATTCAGCTTTAAGTTTGTGGCTGACTGGGGAGCAGCTCCACTAAGTCTCTGAGTGTGATCTGTTGCATAGACTTCTCATCTGACTTGACAAGAACTGAACTTATTCTAAAGGTTAGCAGAGGAAAAAAAGGTAAACACTTCACCTCAAAGGGGGTCGGGAACATTGTTCTACAGCTCAGTCTTGATTTGCCAATGTGGGTGTATCTCCCTGGAAGCCTGAAACAAGAAAGGAGAGAGTCCTCTGAGACCTGAGGATACATATTTAAGATTTTTTAAAATGGCTGCTTTAAAGTCTGGGAAGTGGAGAGCAGACTGTGAAACTAATTTAACTACCAAATGACCAACAACTCCCATACCAAGAAGAACAATCAAAACATGTTAATTAAGTGCCTGTTAGTTTTAGCTCATGCTGCACAAATGTTAATGATAATTCTTTTTTGTTTGACCGGCATCTGATGATGTTGAGAGCCTGCGGGATGCGGCTCAGGCTGCTCAGAGGAAAACAGCCATTTTATTGGTCACTGGCGTCAGGCCTGTCAGGAATGACGGCGCACAGAAGTGGCATTAAAAACACCCTGGGATAGGTGCATTTAGAGGCGCAGCATAAAAATTTCATCACATGGTTTCTGCTGGAAGTAGGGAAGAAATGTGTCATCAAGGTCATTTTTTGTGTCATTTCTCTCCAGGAAAACCAGCTCAAAGAACAGAAAAAAGGGAGAATGTGTGTGTTTTATCCAAGTATTTGAATGTGTGTGAGATGGAGTGCATTTAAATCAATGTGTGTCAATTTCCATCTTGTCACAGACAGTTAAGAAGTGCTTGTTACCTTTTACTCCTTACATTGACTTGTTTTGTCACAGGATATCCTATAAGCGCTGACATTACAGCCACATGGGCGCTTTACATTTGTCAATACACTCACCAACTGACCTCAGTGGTTTAAACTGGGAGCTGGGGAGGAAGGGCACATTAAGACTGGCTGCTTCATCCTCCATTTTGCTTTCACCAGTTTTACACCTCCTTGGCAAAATGTTGTGTTGGACAGTGATTATGGGTGTGTTTTACCTAATGGGTATAACTGCTGCTGAAGCAACATGCTGTATGACTTCTTCATTACAGCAGTAGTTGATAAGCTTTTCTGTTGTGATTATTTCCCCGCAGTATCTCCTTGTGACCTCGCACCATAGAGCGCATGTCATACAGTAACAATTTTACAGGTCTGAAGAGATGAAAATACATATTGGAGATCAAATGATTAATTGATCACTTGATCATCAGAAAAGTACTAATTTGAGTAATTTTTAAGCAAAAATGTCAAAATCCTTGAGACAGGGAGATGGGGTTTCTCTTTTCTGTGTTCTCCGCCATTATGTATTCACACATCATGAGTTCACTGACCACTGGGCTTTGTCCGTTTTCCAGTATTATGACTACTGTACTTTAACTGTATCTTCTAACAGGTTTCTTGGCTCCACATATCCATACAAATAATATAAGCACTAAAACTTCACATGCCACTTTCTCTGCAGTCAATTCTTCAAATGTAGTTTGGCTATAGTTGCACTCTCAAAGCACTAACATAGATTTACTAACTAGCATTACTTGGACTTATAAGATATTGTGTCAGTAACCAAATCATTGCAAAAAAACCAACACATGCTAACAGGTTTACATAACAGACTACACCTGGAGCCTGATGGCCTATGAACTTAAGAGGAGATGTATGGCCCACTTAGCATCTTGTTGCTAGCGTGTTGCTTAAGAGAATGACTGAGTGTACAGCTGCCATTACTATTACTATCAGTGGGCAATAGCTTCTTTCCCACGGGTAAACAAAACCTTTCACTCCACTAATTTTATTCTACAGCTTACCCTGAAATCATAGCTCAACATTAGCTTATTGACTCAAACTGTTTTTTGAGGTTTTCTTATTCAACACTAACCTGTAATACAGGAAAGAAATGATGAGACGGGGTTTCTCTCTTCTGCGTTATGTGATCACACATTAGTGGACATCACACCTCACTCTGCTAGACCTTCTAAGTAAACAGCGCTGTGAGAGTTTCCACAGCACCACAATGAATGAGGAAGTTGCAGACCCCTAATACTACTTTACCGGAGTAGGGGAGGTTTTATGTACGCCGTGTGTTACTTGTTTGAATCTGGATTTTCTAATAGAGTTGTTTGACAAGCAGAGCAGTGAGTGGGGAAGGAATCTTGGCTCATGAACAAAAAACTGGGAAATTGTGTTCTTTTTTAGTGCAATCCAAACTCCAAAAAGGTTTGATAGCTGTGTATAGGCTGTGTGCCAGGAGTGTCGCAGATCCAGAAAAGATTAATTTGGTTTTCACTGTATCAAAAGTAACTGTGGCTCCCAGAGCCAGCATGGATGAAAATATAAATAATGTAGAGAACTATTTACCAATTGATACATTTTGTATATTTTGGTTTCTTTTTTGGGAACTACATCTGCTAAAAATACAATTACTGCAGAACAAACTCTTCAAAAGATACTTTCTCTAAATGAGCTGTCTTCACTTTGAGATATGTATTGCACAGCACAGACTAGATTTCATTGAAACAAATCTTTAATCTTCATGAATCTTCCACCCACTACTTCACTTCTAAGAGGATGAAAAATTGTTTCCTAATTCAGTAAAGCAAGGAAAATAAATGTATGAATAAATGTAATTTACAAAAAAATGTCCCTTCTTAACCATTAAAAGCAGTTCTGCGCACACTGCTGTGAATTGGGAGCCCGCGACTGTCAGAAATAAGTAGTTGACTAGAGGGTAATATAGCAGAGCTCCTCAGAGTCACTACCTACTCCCATCTTTCTGTTCATTTTTAATGTTTAGATTGAGGAAAAGAGAGTGAGACAGCTCCATTTCCTGCTGTATTTATCTAGTCGCATTGGTTCTGTAAATGCCCTATTTGTAATCCAGTCATTTTAGAATAATTTCCTCACGTTAGCAATGCTTTATGATGCTGTGCCACTTGTAGGCCTATGGTTTGGAGTCACTGCGGTCCTGTGGGGTAAGTCTTCACAGACTGCCTGAACCAGCAACGTTTCCTGATTCAAACATTGTTGCACACTGGCTCTCCTTGGGAATGGCTTTAATTGAGTGCTTAATAAACGCAGCGCCACACAGCAACCAACTTCAGGAGGAGATATGAGCGCTGGGACTGCTGCATTATTAAATGTATTTACAGTATATTTAAGGCCTGCAAATGTCTTCTTCTCAAGCAATTTCAGGATGAAGCCAGGTTTCTGATTCTTTCTGCTAATACTGCTCACTCCACAGTGGATTTGGTTTTGCTGAACAGCACATTTTGAGAAGTGCATTGTGTGCCACTGGGTGTGGCTGCAGTGTGAGAGCCATCTTTCCTTCCTCATTTAGTACAATATAAGCACTCGATAAAAGTGCCTTCCCCACGGGGCATTGTTATGGTCTTTGTGTGAGTCAAGATTAAAGGACTGAACAGAACAGCTGAGATAAATGGACCTTAAGCACCATGTTGCTTTCTATTGATATCTGTCGATAAAATACAGGCAGCCTCGTGCCTTGCACATGAGTCTGTCAAGTCCTTTAAGGTAGAATCTTGCTGAAAAAAACTAAATAGGTTATCTTGAACTGCAGGAGTGGCATCTAGCAATTTTTGAACTTAGTGGCATTTTCCTTAAACATGTTTTCTTACCTTACAAAATGTACATGTAGGATAGGACATCGACAAAAGATCTTCATGAAGTTGTTTTCACTCATATGCCTTATGCTCACATTGCATTATACCTTAATTTACATCACATAAGAGCTTCAAAATAATAGTTAATAAGATGTGTGATTTTGTATCTATAAGACCTCTCTAAAACTACTAAATATTTCTTGTCAGGAGCACAGTGATGCATACAAAAGGTTTATGAATTTACCACTGAAGCATAAGACTGAACAGTACACAAGGATTATTTTGGGTGAAGAGAGTAAATTAGCACAAAGGATGGAAATTAAGGTAAAGCAACAAGGTCATGTTATCTACTGGTTATGCAAGTTGTTAGTCATTTTTGCCAGGCAGTTGTCATTATTCAAAAGGTTTATGCATATTAGTATTCAAAAGAAGCTTGATGCTAATAACAATGAAATG